TGGGGGATTGAACCGCGATCCCTGTGCTTTGCTTAGCTTAGCTTGTTCTAAGTAGGTGCTTTAGACCACTGAGCCATCTCCCCAGCCCTAATAGTCTATCTTATCTCTAGGTTGACAGCTATTGCAAGGAGTGAAATGGCTGCAGCTGCAGTGTTTATCTAGTAAACAGGAGTCAGAGCTAGGTGTCTCAGCGGTGGCCTTGTCTTACCCTTTGAGATGTCACAGCTTCACAGGCCACTACGGGTCTCTGCTGGGACCAGCGACTCATAGAGGTTCACTTCCCACAAATCTGCTGCTACTCTCCAAGCAAGGGGCTAGGCCTGGGGCAGACTCATAAGTAAGAATAGAAGGCTGATTGATTAATGATAAATCCTGCTCAGAGCCCCTAGGTGGTGGTCTCCATCAAGGCAAGAGGATTACTCCTAGTTCGAGCCCGGCCTGGGCTACATAGTGAGTTCAAGTCTAGCCCCTGAGTTACATAGGGAGACATTGTCTCAAAAAAAGCCAAAGAAGAAACACGTTTACAAGGAAGATGGGAAAGGGTCCCACAGCTGCACTTGCCATGGTAATGGCGCTTTATTTTGATATCCCATGCATTTCTTTTTTTTCTTAATATACCTATTCTCTCCTCTTTCTTGGTCCCTGCAACCCTTGCTGCAGTCACAGAGCAGCAGGTATTCCAGGCCTGGCCTGAGCGGCTCAACAGCAATGTGGAGGAGCTGCTGCAAAGCTCCTTGTCCCTGGGAGGCCAAGAGCAAGCAACCAGTCACAAACAGGAACCAGGACAGGAGCATCATAAGCAGAACCCAACACAGGAGCACAAGCCCGAGGAAGGGCAGGAGCAAGAGGAGGAGGAAGAGGAGCAGGAGGAGGGCCAGGGCGCAGAGGAGGGCCTGGGCACCATGTCCAGCCTGCAGCTGGGCTCCGAGCCCAAGCTGCAGGCCACGTCTCTGTCTTCTGACCCACACTCTTTCACCGCCCGAGTCCGAGAGGTAGATTCACCTCCTATGATGATGGAAAACATCCAGGAGCTCATTCAGTCAGCCCAGGAAATGGAGGAAATGTACGACGAGGACACCTACTGGAGGAACCAGAACCATGGCAGGTACAGGAAGTGGTAGCCCCCCAGCTGCCCTGCCTTCCTGCTCCCACCTTTGGGAGTGAGAAGCCCACACTCCCAGCTTCAGTCTGCAGAACCTCTCAGACCCATCTGGGCTTCAGGCTCAGCCAGCAACACTGGCCTTTCTGATGCCCGCTTGGCCTCAGCCCTTACGCTAAAGGTCTGTCCTCTGGCATGATGTGGTACAAGGAGCCTCGAACCTGGTGCCACCAGCTGTGGACTCAGGTCTTGTTTCTAGCCCTGATTGCCAGTGCAGCCTTTGAGAGGATAGTTCCCCTTTCTGTTCCTCATTTGGTTTCTTTTCTTTT